AATTCACCCTTGTTTTGATATTCAAATTGTGAAATATTATTAGAGACCACTTGTTCATTTGTAACTTGAGTAGTGACATGAGAACAAGCTGTGACATGATTAAAAGAATGTGACTGTCTAGTGTCAACATCCAGTAATATAGTGCTAACATATCTTAAATCTGGAGGAGTGGGAGTAGCAGTTATGATAGTAATAACTGATTCGAATTCAGGTGGCAATCCATTCAATATAGCAGTGATATGTTCATGTACTGATATTATCTCACCACGGCTAGCTAGATTGTCACAGACAGATTTAGTTTTCATCAAGTATTCTCTCATACTCAGTTCTCCCTTCCTCTGAGAATGAAGCATTCTCCTATAGGAAATTAACCTAGAAGTAGTTTTGCCACTGTACAACCTATGCAATGTATTCCAGATCTCAGCTGCAATATTGAGTCCTATAAGATGAGGTAAAACTTCTTCACTAACAATGGAGAGCAACCACGAAGCAAGAGCTCCATCTTGCTCCTCATAAAGCTCATATTTAGGATTCAAACTAACTACACCATCTGTAGTTACACACTGTGTAGGCCAAGAAATATTAAAATCTATATATACAACAACCAAGACTAACCAAATAGCCCAACTGAATAGAAATCAATTACAACAAACTAACCATAATGGTTACAACTAACCAACTAATCACATCTGAGTAATACTTTAATACCTGCGAAAGAGACGCTCTTGGATATTCAAAGAGTGAAATAGAATTTTGGGGACGAAAGTTTGGAATTAGAAGAGAGGGTGCACCATCAAACGGTTAGTATCTGCGTAATGATTAGCTAACTCCCCTTAATTGTATTAATAATTAAAATCAAATACAAGAAAAAAAAACCAAAACTCACTTCATCTTTCATATAGAAACATGGCGAACCAGTCTTACAAGTAGTAAACTGGAACTGTTTTGAGTTTAAACTTTACAAGCTCAAATTGTCTTGAACATAATTGAATGATGTCTCGTTTATTAGCTAATTAAGGTCATAATATCTTCATATTTATAGGGTTTAATGACATTTTATCCCTTAAACTCTTTTCAGCTCTCTTGGCCTCGAACTTACAATATTTTTTAATATTTGTTTTTATAAATTTTGCTATAAACTTACTTTAATTGTTTTTGTCAGATACAAAGAGATGTTATTCATCCTCACCCGATAACACGAAATGATGACCCACAAACAAAATTTGTGTGTGACAATTGTGAAGAACTGTGCAAAGGTTTATAATATAATTGTCAACTTTGTTCGTTCATCATTGACAGCAAGTGTTCTACTTTAAAGGATGAAACACAACAAGTTAGAAAAAGCAAAACCACAGTCAACCATTTTAGTCACTGGCATCAACCTACACTGTGCAAGTTCAATATTTTGCAAATGGACTCAAAGTTTGATGGGTGTTGCGGAGCATGCAAACAACGCCTTTGTGATATAATATATGCTTGCATTTATTGTGAATTATTTCTGCACGTATCCTGTCTTGAGGACATGTTGGTGGAAGTTCAGAGTCTGTTCCATCCACAACATCCTCTTCGCATATTACCATACCTATTCGCTGAAGAAGCTGATTGCCTCGGCTGCAAGTTAAAGATTGAAGGCGAATTATTGTTCACTTGTATGGAATGCAGATTTTCCAAGCACTATTCATGTGCTAAGTATCAATTTCGTGTGGTTAAACATGATTTCCATCCCGATCATTATCTTCTACATTTGGGGAAAAGATTTTTCGGTGATGTATCTCCCCTATGTGATGAATGTGATCAAACTTGAAAGAACACTTTATGGTGCTGCCTCAAGTGTGCGTTTTGCATTCATCTTGAATGTATTTCACTACCATCGGTCGTCAAGCACAAACGTCATTTGCATCCACTTGAACTTTTAACTGTGACTGAAGATGATTTTGGAGAATACTATTGTGATACATGAGAAACACAAAGAAATCCAGAGCATGATGTTTATCACTGCAAAGAATGCAACTATATTTCACATATTGACTGTGTGATTCTTGGGGCAAGTACATCAGTTTTATAATAAAAAATCATATTTTTCTCCAGATATTTGATGAAAGCCTGAAACTGAAATTTGATATACATTTGTTTATTTAGGTTAAACCTCTAGAGCAACAGATACTTCAGTATCTAACTCCTTATTCAAGGAAAAAATTAAGAAGGCTCCCCGGAAAATCAGTCTTTGCAAGTAAGCATATTTTATTGATCCTTTTTCTGTGACATTCCATTTTAAATTAGTAATTGAATTCACTCATTTATTTAAGTTTATTTTGATCGACTTTAAGAAACTAACAAAACTTGTATTAATTTATCTTTGATAACTATTTTAATATTCTTCAAAGTCCCATCAGACCATCCACATGCACCGTAACTGAAACCACCATCACTGCAAACAAACACAGGGCAAGTCTTTTGGAGAGATGGAGAGCTACAAAGATGAATATTTGAGTTGAGAACACTGCAAACAAAGATGAATATTTGAATTGTTGCCTGTTGGGTTGGATAAAGTACTGTAGTTAATGCATGTATGTATGAATGTGTATGTATGAATTCAACTCATAATTAATCTACTGATAAACTAAGTATGTATTGAACTTACCCTCTTGGGGTTGGTAAAACTCGGAAATCTACTTTTAAGGTTTCTTGATAGATACCACATAATGAGGAAATTTATGTTTGATTCCTTTAGAAATCACTTTTTTATCCAAGTCTTTAAGCACAATTCTTTTCAATCCATAATTAACTTCACATCGAGGGACAAACACTGAATTTTAAGTTAAGAGGGTGAACTTCTAAAATTTAAAGAGATGACAGATTTATAACATTTCAAGGGCGAAAACATATTTTTAATAGAAAATACATAAAAAGAATCTAAAATGAATGATAATTTTAAATTTTCAGGGGCGACTATCATCATCCGCCCCTCAATCCATCCTTATTCACATTGATACATAAAAGTAATTTGATCCCATAATTAAATCAAAATCATGAAAGAAAATCTCATTAAATGTGTAAAAAATTGATCTATTGAATTATAATGTGGGCAATTTCGAGCAATTTTATCTATCAATACACTTTGCCCCCATGGAACTCGAAAGTGTTACCCCTTTATTTGTATTTCTCATCTCTAATATTTTCTTTCGGACTAATTAAATGCAAATGAATGAATCGAATTGATATTTTTATTGGCTTAATACCTACCTACTTTAGTCCTCTATTTTGTAAAATTGTTAATTTAGTCCTTTTTACTATTTTCAGTTAGTTTTGTCCTCCAACATTCATTCCCTAACACTTTTAGACCTTGGATTTATTTGCTAAAAATTCCGTGGCCCAATCAGGTTTTGTCAGGTGGTATTTAAAAAAACTCAAAAATAGCTAAAATTTAAATAAAATCATAAAAATGTAAAAATCCTAGATAATTACCAAAAAAACGTCAAAATGTATATATGCTTTCAAATTTTGTAATTACACTTAATTTATTTTTTAAATGTATAAAAAATAAATTATAAAAAATCCTATAAATAAAAAATTGAGTACTTTTAATTAAATTCTAATTTTTTTTAAAAAATAATTTTTTTCATTTTTATGATAAATTTTTAGTTTTCTATTATTCTTTTTTTAATTTTTTTTATTTTCTTAAAACTCTATGTAGTAAAATCTGATTGAATCACATTATCATTTTTAATTAAAATAAAATCTAAGGGCTAGACGTACCGCCGGAATAAAAGTTGAAGGTCCAAACTGACACAATAAAGTAGAAGGGCAAATTGAAAATGTTATAGAAGTAGAGGGGCTAAAGTAAGTATTAAGTCTTTTTATGTTAAGTTTTTTATGATTTACTTTTAAAATAAAAATCACAATTGTAAAATTCAACATTTATATGTAATTAATTAAATTATTAATTTAATTTATTTCCTATTTGGATATTTAATTTTCTATATAGATTAAATTAATTAAACATATAACATAGATATACTTTAGGAACCATTAAGCCTAAAATAAAAGGGCAATTTCATATCTAGACCCCTAAAATAGATATATTCTTTAAACAACATATACACCATGTTCTTAATCTTTCAAAGGCTAAAGAAGGTAAAAGTATTTTTGTAATCGTTTTTACATGGATAACTCGAAAACCCAAGAAAAAAATAAAGGGTAAACTACATATTTAGTCACTTAATTATTTCCATAATATTTTATTCACTAAAATATTTTTTCAAAATTGTACGTAATCTTACACTTTTGTTCTATTTGATCACTCATTATTAAAAATTAACTACGATACTGACATGCCATAAGCTGATGTCATCTCATTACTGAAAAATAAAAAAATAAAACGTCAATAGTTTTGTTTATTTTGGGGTTAATGGTATGTGAGACCTTTAAACATTTCTAAAAAAAATGACCCTCAAATTATTTTTTGTACTCAATGTGGTCCTCAAAGTCAAAAAAAAATCAAATGTGGCTCTTTGACCAATGATTTTCGTCATTGATCGATACGATGTTAATGTGACAGTTCATGGTAATGACATAATAGTATATGATGCTGACGTGATGGTCCACGGTGATTGATGATGTGATGATGACCAAAAAAATCAATTTAGTCAAATGGCCACATCGTAAACTGCCACATCAACATCGTAATGATTAATGAAGAAAATTATTAGTCAAATGACCACATTGAATTTTTCTGAGTTTGAAGGTCATATTAAGTGTAAAAATAGTTTGAGGGTTATTTAATTTTTTTAAAGAAGTTTGAGGGCCTTACATACCACTAAACCTTTATTTTTAAATGGAAGACGATTAAAACAAAATAAAAACGTAAATTTTAAGTATGATGTTAAAAAAATAATTAGATAACAAAATAGAGTGACTAAATACTTAGTTTACCCCAAAATAAAACTCACACCAGTGAACCACCAAGAGCCAAAGCCAAAAGACTTTTACAAGCCGCTGTTTTTGTTTTCTTTTCTATATTGTGTCCAAAAATCCAACCAAATCTCACGTAGTTAAGTTCTAAAAATTCCACCTCCAAAACCCGCCCCTTCCATTCATATCTGTTCCAGTTTAGATCAGGCTTTCACGATATCCTTCATGTAATAATAAAGAAGCTTCCCCTCCTTTTTGACACCAATACTTGGAACCAAACACACACTTGTCAGAACCCAACGAAAACCTCAATCTTCTTCTAAACTTCTTTTCTTCTTAGTTTTTTGGACTTACCCATTGTTTGCTGATGAATTTTCATCTTCATAGAACCAGTTTCAGCCTTTGAATGTGAAGGGAGAAAAAGATGGTTGGTGGTAGTCATCATCGTGTTGTCAAAGTAAAGGGAGAAACTTTAGAGTCATGCATGACATGCCCTCTTTGTAATAAGCTTTTAAAGGAAGCTACAACTATTTCCCTGTGTCTCCATACGTGTTAGTTTCTCTTTTCTTTTATGTTATTTTTCATGTGCTTTGTCCGTCCTTGATAATTGCTGATCTGGGTTTTCTTCTTTTTCTTGTTGTATTTGGATGATTATTTTATTCTGGGTTGTTTTTCCTTTCTGGGTTTTTTCATCTGAGGTTCACTATTTTGCAATTTATTTGATTAGTTCTGTTGTGTCGAGATATGTCTTTCTCGATGTCTTACATTCATTAAACTATACGTTCCAGATGTTTTGTATTTGATTTCTATTGAATGTCAAATTTCAGATTTTTTTCTCATCCGATTTATAATTCTTTTAAATGTGATTTCATTTTTCTTGCAACATGGTTGTTCTGGTCAATACTCCTTCAATTTCTGTTTTCACTTCTTTACCTTTGTTGGTCTCATGCATATACGTATGTTGTATATACATAGTGGTGGTTTGAATTATATGATTGTATAATAGCCAAAGGATATGGCAGACTTATGTAGGAGATTTAGAGTATGCCATAATTTGCCACCATGAATGATTCTGGTATGCAAGACAACAAGGACACCAACTTTTCTGTCTCATGTATTAAGGACTGCCTTTTGAACAAGTTGGTATATAGGTTGCTTTAATTAACCCACTTTTAAGTTGAATATCAATGTTGTCATCTTCAAAGAGAGATCATCTACTAAATGCTTCTACATTGTACAACTTCTACTTGAACATTGTACTGCTTTGTGTTGTGCTTTTGATTCATATAATGTGTCGAACTGCGAAGTCAAGGTTGCTACTGTTTTTCCTTGGAATGTTTGATGTATGCTTTTGTGGCTCACTTCGGATGCACTGAATCTGGAAATCAATTCAGTCTGTAGGAAGTGCATATATGAGAAGCTCTCGGATGAAGGGATGGATTGTTGTCCCGTATGCAACATTGAGCTGGGATGTCTGCCAGTTGACAAACTCAGGTTATTGATTCTGGGTATTCAGAAATATATGAATCTTGTGTCATTATCCTTTTTCAAATATAAGAACTATAACTGTTACCCTGTAAACAGTGCAAATTGTTAGCAGTAGAATTCAAAAGCTCTGATCAAGTCCCACTGATGTCAAATTTGTTATTTTTTTTTCTGAATTATAGCTGGAAAGATTGTGTCTGGTATTGTATGTTTTTATCTCTGTGACCACTGTCGCTGGACAGAAATTGTGTAACTTGTTATATCAATTTCAACATCGTAAATGAATGTTTTTATTCATTGAGTCACTCGTCAGCATGCTCTGACTCACGTCCCGTGCTGCACCTTTGCTTCTTAAGGACTTTTTACGAGTCTGTGTCAGCAGATGTTGCTTTTAGCATATTGCTTTTAAAATATATGCTAGCTAGATGCACTCTATTTTTTTGATACTATGCAAGTTTCCGAAGAATCTTTATATATGAAAACTTACAGTCGGTGTGTTTATTATGAAGTTTTGTGTTGTTATAAGCTCGCACAGAATTATTTTTCCTATAAATATATGCAGACCCGACCACAGTTTACAAGAAGCAAGGGCAAAAATTTTCCCTTACAAAAGAAGAAAGATAAGTGCTCCCGAGGTTATGCCTTCAGCTTCACCACCAGCAAAAAGAAAAGAAAGATCACTGTCATCATTGGTGGTCAGTACTCCCAAAGTGCCAATGCAGCGTGGTTTGACTGGAAGGAGAACGAAGGCTACTGCACGAAAAAGGATTGCTGATTTTCGAGGGTGTAGTTTCTCTGTTGAGGGGTCCCCTAAGAAAGAAGATTCCGCAGAAGATCATCCCTCAGGCTCAACCTCACCTGATTCCTCAAACAAAATTAGTCAACGTAAAAGGCAGGTAAAAGAGGCTGAAGAAATATTGTTTACGATTATGTTATGTAAACTTCAAACTTAGTTTTTGAAAACTTGTCCATCTTCCTTAAATCAATGCAGGATTGTTCCAGGGTAAAACCTTCTAGTGAACACAGGTCTAATGAAGATACAGATGATGTTGAAATTATGGAAGGGAAAGCAGATCTGAAGACATCCTTAAACTGTCTTGTCAAAGCAGCTAACAGAAAGTCATCCAAGTTAAATTCACAAGCATCACCAGTTTCTGCATCAGAGCCACATAATAGCCCTTATCGTCACTTATATGCGCCTGAAATAAAAGCTGGCCTTGAATCCCCTACTGTTCCTGATGGAAAATTGAGTTTTCATAAATATAAAAGTAGGGAGCATCGGCTGAATTCAAAAGTCCTGGATTAAAAGAATGGGGCAAATTTGATTACAAAACCTGTGAAACGTAGAAGGTTGCATGCAGAAGCACAAAAGAAGGCAGCTGGCTTCAATAGGATCATGCTAGACACTTTGGGGTCTATGTGGAATACAAAAAACAATCCAATTTGGTTCTCATTAGTTGCTTGTGAAGACCGGTACGATACTGATTTCACACTATATACGCACTTAGTAATGATTTGCCTCTTACAATATGTTCTTTTCTTGGTGAGCGAATTCTCAATGGCATGCTTCATTTTCTGATAGACTTTCAACTTGAGTATTTCTGATTTACTATCGATTTTATGAAATGGTTTCAGGATAGGACATATTTCCCTTCCACAGCTTTCTGCATGCTACTTGAGGATACAGTGAGTAGTCTGTCCGTACTAGCCACTCGGAATCTGCTTTTTCCCCTCATTTGCTTATGCTGAGTTTGTGATATCATAAAAATTGCTATAGTGTCCGTATGATTTGACTTCTTTTCTTATGGTAACAGGGACGGTAAAATGCCAGTCTCATTCATCCAAAAGTACCTTGTAAAGAAACTTGATCTTACAAGTGAAGCCGAGGTGAGATGACCTTTACCAGGTTTTCTGTTTTTCCCAGAAAGCTTAGAGTGCCTACATTTTACATCATTCTAAAATAGTGATGCTATTTTGCCATAATTTTACGTTATCACGATGCTTGCTGTTCTCTTTTTCTTGTTTTCTGGAGCTGAATGCTGAAATGAAACTAAAGGCAAAAACATCAGTAGCACTTCAGTTTTAATTCCTTGGTTTCATATCAGTTTGCATATTGTCGGATAGAATGTTTCAGCTCTGGTTCCAGAAGATTCTTTGACCCTTTTCTTGGTTCAGTATATCCATGTTTATTCTCATTTCTTGCATTTCTCTTCACAACTTATTACCTCTTTCCGTAAGTTTCGAACCGGATTTATCTACTTTTGTAAAGCACATGGAAGTTAGCAAAATCTAAACTGTTCATGGTATAAGCATGTTTTGATGGCATTGATGAAACTCTTAACCTATCAATGATTTTTCTTCATTATGGTTTAAGTGAATGCATTTTTGCAGGTGGAGATCATGTGCCAAGGTCAATCGGTCGTACCGTCATTACAACTTCATAGCTTGGTAGACTATTGGTTTCGTACTGCATCTACAGCGAAGAAGATCCCAGCAACCGTCGGTTCATCATCGAAGGACTACGTTATGGTTCTATCGTATTGCCGAAAAGTCCAAGCTCCCTGAGACGCCCGTTTAATCTTTTTTTCATGTTCTGTCTGTTGTGGAAGACGACTATCGGATAGAACAAAATCGCAATTGATAATTTGAGAAAATAAAGATGAAGATATAGAAGACACTAAATTTACGTGGAAAACCCCTAAATAATATAGGGTAAAAACCACGGGCAACGGTAGAAGAATTTCACTATGAGAAAATATGAATTACAACTTCTCTCGATCTACCAAGGAAAAAACAATGATAATTCTCTCTTGATAAAAAGGAGAAAACAACTTTCAAGAAACTCTCTAAATTCTCTAGTATTGGAAGAAAGCTAGAATGATTTGGGATGATTTTGAAGCTAAATGAGCTAGGGTATTTATAGTTGAAGCTTAAGGACTAATTTGTAAATGCCTTAAATTTCAATGACTAAATGTGAATTATCCCATGCCAAATAATTAAATATTTTACAGTTGATTTTGTCTGCCCCATTCGGTGCATTTATTGCACCGAAAAAAATCTGATTTTTTAAGCCACAAAAACTAACTTTTGACAATCTCTCACTTGAAGATTTGATTGGAACAATCATATCTTCACAGCATTCTTTCTACCTTGTACCTTCATGTTGCTTACGTTTCTGACAGGCCACAAGAGGATCGACACCAGGTAAATTTATCAGCATTGATTGCCTTCGTCATGAAATCTGCTATGTTGTCTTTGGTATGAATTTTCTACATATCTACCGTCCCTTCTTCTACCTTTTCACGAATGAAATGGTACTGAACTCGTATGTGCTTTGTCCTTGAATGAAATGTTGGATTCCTTGCTAGATGCAAGGCGTTTTGACTGTCACAAAATAGAGAGACATACTCTTGATTGTGCCCAAGCTCCTCCAATATCATCTTTAACCAAATTGCTTCTTTATTGGCTTGTGTAGCTGCTACATATTCTGCTTCTGTTGTTGACGTAGCCACAACTAACTGCAATTTTGAAACCTAGCTTACAGCTCCACCAGCAATTTTGAACACATATCCTGTAGTAGATTTGCTTTTATCCAAATCCCCTGCATAGTCAGAATCTACATACCCATTGATTAGTAAGTTTGATCCTCAATAACATAATGCAACATTTGAGGTCCCTTTGATGTATCTCAGGATCCTCTTTACTAAATTCTAATGCTCTTTGCCTGGATTCGCCATGTACCGACTAACCACTCCCACTGCTTGTGCAATGTCTGGTCTTGTGCATATCATAGCGAACATTAAACTTCCCACTGCCGATGCATACGACACTCGAGACATCTCCATCCTATCTTCTTCACTGCTAGAACTCATACTGGAGGATAATTTGAAGTTAATAGGAAGAGGGGTAGAAATTGGCTTACAATCTTGCATGCTGAATCGTGACAAGATCTTCTTCAAGTAATTCTTTTGTGAAAGCCAAATCTTCCTATTACTTCTGTCTCGGTGTATTTGCATCCCTAGAATCTTGTTTGCTGATCCCAAGTCCTTCATTTCAAATTCCCTAGTCAGTTGTGCCTTCAATTCTTCAATATGATCTTTGTTGGGTCCTGCAACCAACATGTCATCCACATACAATAGCAATATAACAAAATCGTTATCACCAGACCTTTTGAAATAAGCACAAGGGTCTGCATTAAGTCTGTTGTATCCAAGGCACATAATGAAGGAATCAAATCTCTTATACCAACACCTCGGCGCCTACTTTAGACCGTACATAGATTTGTTCAACCTGCAAACCAAGTTCTTCTTTTCTTTTTCTTCAAAACCTTCAGGCTGGAGCATATAAATCTCTTCTTCAAGATTTCCATGAAGAAAAGTTGTTTTAACATCTAGCTGCTCTAGATGTAAATTCAATGTAGCACATATTGCCAAGACTACTCGAACTGTTGTTAGTCGAACCACAGGAGAAAATATTTCATTGAAATCAATACCTTCTTTTTGAGCATATCCTTTGACCACCAGTCTTGCACGATACCTCTCAACTTGATCATCACCGTTTCGCTTGATTTTGAAGACCCATTTGTTACCAATTGGCTTCATTCCTTGTGGTAGTGGCACAAAATCCCATGTATTATTTTTATGAAGGGCTTCAATTTCTTCTTGCATCGCCATCATCCACAGTGAAGCATCTAAGCTGTTTATTGCCTCCTGAAATGTTGATGGCTCACCGTCCTCTGTTAAAAGGCAGTATGCAATATTTTCTTCTATAACATAATATGAGTGCCAATTGGGACGTCTTCTCACACGATCTGATTGACGAGTTGTTGGAGCTTCAGAACTTTTTGGTTCTTGTTCATCATGTGTTGGTTCTGCTTCAGAAGAATCTCCTTGTTCAATCTCCTTTTCCACATGTATCTGTGTAGTCTCTGACTTTTCAGCGTTATTATCATCTTCTTTTCTTTGTAGTTTATCCTCTACAAAGATAACATCCCTGCTGATGATCACTTTGCGGGCAGTGGGATCCCACAAGCGATACCCCTTTACACCATCAGCATACTCCAAGAATTTGCATTTCTTGGATTTTGGATCCAACTTTGAAATTTATTGAGAGTTGTACATCACGTACACAATACTTCCAAATACATGGAGGTTTGAATAATCAGCTGGTTTACCAGTCCGCATCTCCATTGGTGTCTTCAGCTCTATTGCAGTTGATGGAGCTCGATTCACCAAATAACAGGCGGTATTGACTGCTTCTGCCCATAATGATTTTTCTAGGTCTGCATCCCTCAACATTGCTCTTGTTCTTTCTAACAAGGTTATGTTCATCCGCTCTGCCACTCCATTTTGTTGAGGAGTGTTTGCCACTGTGAACTGCCTTTTGATGCCTTCTTTCCTGCAAAAGTCATCAAATTCTTCACTGGTGTATTCTCATCCATTATCTGTTCTGAAACACTTGATCTTATTTTCAGAATCAAGTTCCACCCGCGCTTTGAAGTTTTTGAAAATAGAAAACACGTCTGAATTCTTCTTAATAGGGTACACCCAACATCTCCTGGAGTAGTCATCAATAAATGAGACAAAGTATTTTGTTCCGCCTAGGGATGTAACTGGTGCTTGCCATACGTCAGAATGAACCAATTCCAGAACACTTTTGCCTCTAGAATTTGACGTGTTGAATTTCAATCGGTGCTGCTTACTTGTTATACAATGCTCACACAAAGTAAGTGATACTTTTTTCAAGCCTGGAAGTAGCTTTTGCTACACAAGGACTTTCATTCCTTGTTCTGACATGTGTCCAAGTTTCTGATACCATAGCATTGCAGAATCTGAACTACATGAGGCAACAGAGTCTTCTGCTTCTAGCAAAGTTTCTCCCTTCAGCATGTACAAGTTTGCTGCAATCTTTTCGCCTTTCAACACCATAAGCGCTCCACGGAACACCTTCATGGTTCCTTTCCGTGTTTCAATCTTGCTTGCATTATTATCCAACAATCAGTAGGATAATAAATTTTTCTTCAGACCTTTCACGTGTCGCACATCTCGAACAACTTTGATTGTTCCATCATACATCTTCAATTTGATGGTTCACACGCCAATGATCTCTAAGGCATGATCATTACAACTATACACAGATCCTCCTAAGACAGGTTCATACTGATGGAACCATTCTCTTCTTGAGGTCATATGATATGTTGCTCCCGAATCAATGAGTCATATATCTGCAAATCTTTTTCTACCTTCCATGGTGGTTGACGCTTCACAGCATAGAGCATCTCCATCATCTGAAGTGTTTGCGGTATTGCCTTGTGGATTGTAGTTTTTATTTAGACTCCAACAATCCTTCTTCAAGTGACCCTTCTTTCCACAGTTGTAGCACTTTAAATTCTTCTTGCTTCTCGACTTCGATCTACCATGTTTGTGACTGATGCTTTGGTCACGTTCTGTTGATCTCCCTCTCATCGTTGTCAATGCTTCTGCTTGTTGCAGATTTATTTGTCTTTCTTCCTTGTTCTTGCGTCGATTTTCTTCTTGTAGAACAGCAGCTGCAACGTCATCGAAGACTAGACTGGTGACATTACTGTTTGTCAAGTTGATGATGAGTTGATCATACGAATCAGGTAGACTTTGAAGTAGAAGTTCAGCACGTTCTTGTTCTCCTATTGTACAGCTTAAGGATGTAAGCTGAGAAAATAAAGTGTTCAGCGTGTTTAAGTGCTCCGTCACTGAAGTAGATTCTGACATCCGGAGAGTATACAATTTCCTCTTAAGGAAAATTTTATTGTGCAATGATGTGGCCTCGTACAATTTGGTGAGATGATCTCATATCTCCTTAGCTGTATTTTTCTCCTCGATGCTTGACAATACTTCATCTGCTAATGCTAGATGAAAGTTTGCCATAGCATTCCCGTCCATCTCGATCCATTTGTTGTCATCTGTGAAATCTACCGGCCTTTCACTGATAGCTGCTAGACACCCGTCTTTCCTCAGGATGACATTCATCTTCAATTTTCACAATGAGAAATTTCTCCCATTAAATTTTTCAATATCAAATTTCGTTGACATAGCTTCTATTGCGGATAGCTCCCACTATTTCACTATCGTGAATAGTTCTCTGGAACCTTCAAAGAATGGGTAATACCTTCTTACTTTTTAATGTTGGAGGATCCACCTTTTGGTGGCAACCACAAAGACAATAAGTAGATATTACACACTCTAATCTGGCTTTGATACCAATTGTTACGGAAGACGGCTATCGGATAGAGCAAAATTGCAACTGATAATTTGAGAAAATAAAGATGAAGATAAAGAAGACACTAAATTTACGTAGAAGACACTAAATTTACGTGGAAAACCCCTAAATAATATATGGTAAAAACCACGGGCAACGGTAGAAGAATTTCACTATGAGAAAATAGGAATTACAACTTTTCTTGATCTACCAAGGAGAAAACAATGATAATTCTCTCTTGATAAAAAGGAGAAAACAACTCTCAAGAAACTCTCTAAATTCTCTAGTATTGGAAGAAAGCTAGAATGCTAGAATGATTTGGGATGATTTTGAAGCTAAATGAGCTAGGGTGTTTATAGTTGAAGCTTAAAGACTAATTTGTAAATACCCTAAATTT